CAAGATGCTTTCTTATGTCACTTGTTGGGAACATACAAAGCACAGTGTTCATGGATAGTGCTTCCAAGAGTGACACAGAGTGGTGGCTCCTTAAGGGTAAAGACTGTGTTCACATCCTGCCTGGAATGTAGAAGATGTTAATTTCATGCTTGATGAATGAATCATTTTTTAAACTTTCTAATATACTTTATAGGAGCTCTGGTAGCATAGTGCCTAAGGCACTTGACTGCTAACCAGAAGACCAGCGGTTCAAACCTACCAGCCACTCCTCAGAAGGAAGGTTAGGCAATTACTTCCGTAGTGATAGCGCCTCAGAAACCCAAAGAGGGGTCACTGTGAGTCGCATCCAAGTTGACAGCAGTGTGTTTGGATTTTGGTTTGGAATATACTTTATATTTAAAAACAAACAAATGACCAGTTGCCATTGAATCACCTCTGACTCATGACAACCCCATGTGGGTCAGAGAAGAACTGGCTCCACAGGGCTCTTTCAATGGCTGGTTTTTCAGAAGGAGCTCACCAGGCCTTTCTTCTGAGGTGCCTTTGGGTAGACTCAAACCTCCAACCTTTCACTTAACAGCTGAGTATTTAATTTTTCACATTACCCAGGGATACCACCTTACATTTAGAGCAGTCCAATCTGGTTTAACAATAATGGTCAGTATTAATTGAGCATTTACTGGATCCATGACTTCTCATATACTGTCCCATTTGATTCTCACAAGGAGCCTATCAGACAGATAATATTATTGCCCTTGACTTACAAATGAGGAAACAGGAGACTCAAGGAAGTTAAATAACTTGGTGAAGGATACACAGTGATTGATAGAATCAGGATTCACACCAGACTGTCTGATTCCAGAACCTGTGCTCTTAACCAAAAAACCACACTGCTCCCATCTCTGAAGTTACAGCTCCTCAGTAAGTTTTACTGGTTATTGTTGCTGCTGCTGTTGTCATGGCAATTATTAAATCAAGTGTGCAAGTAAAGCAGCAATACAGGATATGGCATAAATCAGAGAGCTTTAATAGAAAGTTAGAGAACGACATCTCCTCCTCTTTCCTAAGCATATTTCTAGGGTTATGTTCTTTAGTTCTCTATTTCAAGTCTATTCTTTACATTATAGGAGAGGTTGGAGAGTTAGAGAGGATAAGAAAAAAAGGGAGAGAGTAGATTCAACTGTTTCCTGGGTATAATTCTAAATAAGACCTTGCATTCAAGGCAATAAAACACAAATTTTAAAAGACTCAGAATGACCTCGAGTGTGTCAGGGTAGAACTGCTTCACAGGGTTTTCAGTGGTGGACTTTTTGGAAGTAGGTGACCAGGCCTTTCTTTCACGGAGCTTCGGGACTCAAAACTCCAACCTTCCAGCTGGTAGCCAAGTGGTTCCAAGCACCTGCAGGCACCACTTTTGGTTCACCTATTCCCTAGCTGACTGACCCTGGTTAGACAAGTTATTTAACTTCTCTCCGCCTAGTTTCCTTAAAAATCAGGCATGGAAATATCCTCAGATGCAGGCAGATGATAATTACGGAGCAGGGAACATCAAACACAAGGAAAAATACTCTGGTGGGGAATGAAAGTTTCCTTCATGGGAATCAAAGTAATATGTTAATACTATTTCTTGGTATTTCTGTAATGATACACAGGCTAAGGAAACGCACTCATAATTCCCAAAGTGTGTCACAACAAAATCCACCAGTTTCTCTGCGATGGCAACAGTCAGGGTTATGGCCGGTGCAATCTCGCCCTCTGGTGACGGAAGCAGGTGGTGCTCCGATTTCACAATTGGGTATCTTGACAGAACCATTATCCTGTATAGGAATGAAAAGAAATATGTGCATCACTCTTAGTCCCACCATATCATGCAGACAAGACCAAGCAAATGGCTTAAAAAAGTGATGTATCACACTACAAATATTCCATTAAGGAAGGAAATTAAGAGCATTAATGTCATGGAGAATTACAAAGCACAGAGCGTGGAGGCCGGTTCACTGCATCGCTGCGATAGAGCATGTCTTGCTGTGACACTAAGCACAATGACTATCAATTCTGTTTTAAAGAGTACTAAGAAGCCCTGGTGGTGCAATGGTTAAACGCTCAGCTGCTAACCAAAAGGTGGGCAGTTCAAACCCAGCTGCTCCACTGGAGGAAAGGTCTGGCAATCAGCCTCTGTAAAGATTACAGCTTAGGGGCATAACTATGAGGGGCATGGGGGGAGGGTTACTGGGCAGGGAGGGGAGGAGACTGGGTTAGGGTTGGACATGGTAAATGGGGAGTGAAACTAAATGTACACAGAATGTTGAATGTAAAACAAATTCTTAAAATTAAAATATATATAGAGAGATTTTTTTAAAAAAAATGTTATTACGCCAATTAACTGGAATGTCCCATAGAACCATGACCCTAAACCTCCAAATGAAGGAGCTAGATTCCATGAGGTTTTGGTTGTCCATAATCAGCCTCAGCAGCTACTTTTTTTTTTTCTTCTTTTATGTCATGTTGTAAATATGTCTATCACATAACTTTTGCCAATCCAATTTTTTTCAGATGGTTTCAAGTTAAAGTCTATTATTGTAACAATTACAATAATCAGCTATGTAACCCTGTCCTTAATCGATGCTATATTTCTATCACCATTAACCCTGACCCCTTTCCTCCTCCTTCCTATCCTTGGGAACCACTAATAAACTTTGTTTTCAATATTAAAAAAAAAAAAAAGATTAGAGCTTAGGAACCCCTATGGGGCAATTCTGTTCTGCCACATAAGGCTACTATGAGTTGGAATTAACTCAATGGCAAACAATAAAACACAGAGACACTAAATAAACAGCATTAGTAGCATGCAAAATCCATTTTACTTGCATTGTTACTCTGATAATATATTTGCATAAATAATTTAATTTTAATCAAAACAGGTGAAATGTACAATCTTACCAGCAAAGATGCAAAGTAACAATTTACAAAATTAGCCTTAGAAATTAAAAATTAAGAAATTAGAAATAAAAATTCTGTTGGAGAAAATGATGGTAAAAATAAATATGTGAAAAAATGTCCAACGTCACTATAAATAAAAAAAACTACATATTAAAGGATGCCCAAAGCTCAGGCCTCGGCAGCTTCCCTGTGCCCTCATGGAGTCCTTCATATAGAACGACCTCTACGGTCATGATACTTGAATCGGTATCTCCAGCCTGTCCCAACACTACCAGCCAGGCTATATGCAATTGTCTGCTTGATACCACTCAGCTGTCCAGGGGCTTCTCAAACTTAGCAAAAACCTGCTGCTTTCCTGATTGTTCCCATCCATTAAAGAGCATCAGCTCTGGCAATTCCACTCCTAGGTATACAACTTAAAAGAACCGAAAACATAGTTCACACAAAAACTTGTACACAAATATTCATAACAGCATTGTTCATAATAGCCAAAAAGTAGAAACAACCCAAATATCCATCAAGTGATACAATGGAATATTATTCATCCGTAAAATGGACTGAACACTGATATATGCTACAACATGGATGCATTTTTAAAACATTATTGTTAGTAAAAGAAGCCAGACACAAAAGGCCTCCTATTTTACGATTCCATACTTATGAAATATCCAAAATAGGTCAATCAATACAGACAGAAAATCAGTGGTTGCCAAAGGATGGTGGGAGAGGAAAGTAGGAGAGACTACAGGTGTGGGGTTTCTTTTAAGGGCAATAGAGATGTTCCAGTATTAGATAGTTATAATGGTTGCCCAACATTATTAATATACTAAAACCATTGAGCTGTGTACCCTTTCAAATGGTGGATTTTATGTCGTGAAATATATCCTCATAATAAAACTTACTAATCTCTAATAAAATGACAAAGAGCTCAAGTCAAAATGGTAGTTGTGCACACAAGTGCACACTATCAAACATTCTAGGCTTTAACATGCCATTACAGACACAAAATGCAGGGTTAAAATCATGATTTCTTTCTTGCTGCCAACAATAATGCACTGGAGTTAACTTTCAGTTATGATAGCAGCTTTCCTTTCTCTCTTCGATTTTTCATTATAACAATAATGTTAATTCTGAGGACCTATATAAATTATCT